TATTCAGCTGGGCTTTAATATTATTATTGAGGCCGTGCCAGAAGGCCGCTCGTAGCGGGCGGTCCTCCCAGTCGGCCTCAGTAGCAAGAACTCGGAAGTCGACAGCATAGTCTAGGACCCGCCGAGCCCCCTGACGGATGTTCAGTAGTTCCTTAGATGCTTGGCTTTGGTGGGATAAAGGAGAGCCCCATAATGTGACTTCACCACATGATTCACTGCACAATACTCTGCATTCCCTTATGCTAACCTTAAAGTTGCACATTTTTTTTTATATATTAACAAATGATAATTGTCAAATAATTTTTAGTAATGTGATATGGGCCTCCTACAATACTGTTAGGGCGGCGGCACTGCAGCAGGAAACCCCGGCATGTGTCCACATTGCCGTCAAAAATGTCAGGCCCGGATATTGGAGGATCTGGGCGGGGACTGGTAGAAAGTGTGGATGGGCAATTCTGTTGAGATAACATCAGGGAGGTGAGTTGTGTTACCTGTTGTGTGAGTCCTGCCAGGTCATGTTGCTGCTGCTGCAGTGCCTGAGCTACTGTATTTGTGCGTTTGACGGTGGTCTGCCTGCACCGGAGTCAGCAGGGTACATGTTGGCCAGTTCTTTGTTAGGACGGCTCGAACACAGAAGTGAGCGAGTCGCAAAAAGGGACGGACCCAGGTGGCTGACTTCAATGCAGGCAGTGCTAGTTTATTTACAGTGTTAAATAAGTGACAAGAAATAAACAGTAGAGTAACAGTGAGACCGGGTGTCGAGCTTTGGAGGAGAACACAGTCAATGGTGGAGATGATGAGAAGAGGACCGGGCTGTGGACACTGGGACTCACTCCTGGACTGGTCGAGTAGGATGTTACTGAAGATGAACAGAAATAGTACATACGGTAAGTAGTAGACTGTGCATCGACCTGCAGGGTGGTGGTGAAGCAGAGCGGAGGAGGTCCGTGGTCCGAAGGAGCAACTGAGGCGAAGGGGGAATGAATCTAAACAACTGGAAAGAGGGAGACAAAAAACCAACTAACACAGATCTATAAGAACGACGGGGAACAAACGGGATAACGTAATCAGGGTAAGGGAGTGAAAACGGAGCGAGGGGAGTGAGAAAGTAGGTGCAGCCGGGCAAACCTGACAAATACACCCACACATGATTAATTTTGCAGTATTGATTCGGTGGGGTTGTTACTGGTGCACTTTTCTTCTGATTGCTAAGTTTGGTAGAACAGTGATGGTGACTGGACAGGTGAGCAGGCCTGGCTCTCAGATGTGATTGCCTGTCAGGTCAACTGGGCCAGCCACTGTATAACTTGAACAAATACAATGTGGATATTATGTGTCAAACTACTAAATATCTGCAGATATTTGCTTGGGTTAGGACAGGATTCAGGGAATCTTTGTATTAAGGTCAAAGTGACGATGGGCTATGATAGGTTAGGGTTAGAGACTAGTGTCCCAGGTAATGGTGTATATAATGGCCTCTTTGGGGCCAAATAATGTGTAAACATAATTTAACTTCAGATTCTGTAAGAATGCTCACCCATTCTTTGGAACGCTTAACTGTGTATTTTCAACTGACAGCCCATGGGACATTTTAGGAACAATTTCTTACTTTCCAAAGTATTCTCACGCTCAAGGTCCTTACAAGAGCACACACACACACAGACACACACACACACACATAAATGCAGTAAAGCTCTGTAGCAGTCATGGGATCTTGTGATAATACCAGGTGCAGCTCATTTCCTATAGAAGGCAGATCAATGACAGAAAGGACAAACTCTAATTAACAGCCACATGTGAAGTGGAATGGTTGGTATGGACAATAACATGCTGGTCAGTGGTGTGCATCTAATGCTTTGGTGAGTCTGACTGATCTCCCTGTGAGTTAAGGGGCCGTGTGTCTGATACCTAGGGACCAAATTTCAGTGCAGGGATAGAATTTACTCTTGCACTGCAGTGACTGTAGAGATATACTGTATAGGATGTGCTTAGTTCCCAATTGACATGCAGTAAATGCATCTTATCATCTGTGACAAGGTGTTGTCATGTAGGCAAAACTGAATCCATGCATGTCAGGAGGCCTCATGGTGCTCGCTGCTATACAAGCAAATCATCACTGCCCTTCATTATTCTCCACCACCAAAAGGTGACAGCTGAATGCAAGTTGGAAGTTCACACATGGCAAGTCATCAGGGGAGGATACCAAAAGTGCTCATGCATTCACACAAGTTGCACTGTGCACACAAGCAATACTAAATTTGCAGATGCATTCAGTTTCGAGGCCACTTTCCTGTTGAAGTAGCAGCAAAAACAAACCGAGGTATCCAAAGGATTGTTATAACCCAGTGTATTGCTCAAATTAGGACTCTCTGGCTTAAATAACAGACCTTTTTCAAAGCAGACATTTTTCAAACTAATAATAATGATATCAATGCCATTCCAAATGCTAGGGGCAAGTTTTCATAGTCAAGGAGTTATATTATGAGGGTCAAACTATAATGGAAATATAGCTTTTAGATGGAATGGCATTAGGGAGACAGTGAGCTGCCTTGGCACAGGTGGCCAGTTTGTTCTGCTTCCATCGTGGGGCGGCTGTGGTTCAGCGGGTAGAGCAGTTGTCTCCCAACCAGAGGGTTCGAAGTTCGAATCACGGTGCCTGCAGTCCACATGTTGAAGTGTCCTTGGGCAAGCCACTGAACCCCCAAGTTGCCCCCGATGGTTAGAGCCATTGGTGTGAGTTGGCGCCGCAGATGGCTGCCTTGGTTCTGTACCAGAAACAAATTCCTTGTGTGTAACACACTTGGCCAAATAAAGGTGATTATTGTCAGTGACTCATGTGTTTTCCCTTGTCTCTCCTTGTCTGTAGGGAACATCTTTGTGGTGAGCCTGGCAGTGGCAGACCTTGTGGTGGCCATCTACCCGTACCCTCTGGTCCTCACCTCCATATTCCACAATGGCTGGAATCTGGGTTATGCCCACTGCCAGATCAGCGCAGTGGTGTCAGTGTCATTGGCTCCATTTTTAATATCACTGGAATCGCCATCAATCGATACTGTTACATCTGCCACAGCCTCAAGTACGATAAACTGTACAGTGACAAAAACTCTGTCTGTTATGTAATGATAATCTGGGCACTGACTGTAGTGGCCATCGTGCCCAACCTATTTGTGGGTTCACTTCAGTATGACCCACGAATTTACTCCTGCACTTTTGAGCAGTCGGCCAGCTCAGCGTACACTATCACAGTGGTTTTCTTTCACTTTATTTTGCCCATTATGATTGTCACCTACTGCTACCTGCGCATCTGGATACTGGTTATACAGGTGAGAAGACGTGTCAAACCGGACAATCGGCCCAAGCTAACGCCACATGATGTTAGAAACTTTGTCACCATGTTTGTAGTGTTTGTGCTCTTTGCTGTGTGCTGGGCACCGCTCAACTTCATTGGCCTGGCTGTGGCAATCAAGCCACACATAGTGGTTCCCCTCATCCCCGAGTGGTTATTTGTGGCCAGCTACTTCATGGCCTACTTCAACAGCTGCCTTAATGCCATTGTATATGGTGTACTGAACCAGAATTTCCGGCGCGAGTACAAGCGCATTGTTGTTTCAGTGTGCACGGCACGAATCTTCTTTCAGGACAGTTCTAATGATGCAGGGGAGAGGCTCAAGAGTAAACCGTCACCACTGATGACGAACAATAACCAGGTCAAGGTGGACTCTGTTTGAGACGGAACTCAGAGGAATACGGAGCAGACAAACAAATAAGTTGTGGCTGAGAAACAGAAAAAAGAGTGAGGAAAATACCAAATATATAACCTCCAACCTGTTCACAAACCGTCATATGGTGCTATCTGACCACTGAACAACAAAACAGGGGCGCATATTGTCTGTCTTTTATGATGCACTTTTGTGTGACTCTGTAGCACCATAAATATATGATGTCTGTTTTGTTTTCTTGTTTACAGTGTGATATAAATGTATCACGCATTATGTAAGTATTTATTTTGTAAAATGTCATGTAGCTATATGGTAAGATGTATCAGTTAGAGACACCAATCAACCTAAGCTGCATGTCTTTGGACTGTGGGAGGAAGCTGGAGTACCCAGAGAGAACCCACGCAAGCATGGGGAGAACATGCAAACTCCACACAGAAAGGTCCCAGGTGGGACCCGAACCTGGAACCTTCTCGCCGTGAGGCAACGGCGCTAACCACTGTGCCGCCCAAGTTCATTATACTGTATGCATAGATATCAGGAATAAAATAAAATTTGACAATATACAATTTGATATTGATTGAGGATCTACTGGAGGATCTGTGTTCAATTTACTGACAAATGCAAGGTTATTGCAATTCTGTATGTTCATTCTGAAATTCCAGTATATAACAAATTGTCAGGGCCGCTGGGCGGCCGCTGCCTCTCCTCCACCTTTCTCTCCTCTATTTTCTTGATCTGCGGGATTCTGCACCTCAGCTGTGTTGCACTCGGTAATTGGCGAATCGTTTGTAGGTGCACACAGCTGGGGTGCATCCCGCTGATTAGTTTTTCCTCCTTATTTATACCTCGGGCAGACGCTCCGCCGTCGCCGGATCATTGCGACATGTTATGGACAATACTTACCCTGTGTAAGTTCAAAGAAGTGTTATGTTTGACCCACATGTTTAGAAGTGTTTAAGATGCTAAGCTGACAGTCTCTGTGCGTTTTGGCTTGACCTTATCACGCTATTATGCGGTTAGCAATTTTGTCTTCCACGCTGACAGTCCCTGTGCAGTGGATTACATTGTGTACGTTGGTTTTGTTTTTTTCTGTTCACCTGTTCGTTCTCATCCTCTGCTGTTCTAGTTCCTGCCGTTAGTTTGTGTGATTACCTGTTCATTCTGGTCTCCTTAGTCATCACTGCCCTTCCCTTGTTGTAAGTTTTATGGACCCTGTTATGTTGTCACTTGTTGTTGTATTCCATTAAACCTCCTTTTTTTGTACTAGCACCTGGGTCGGCCATCTTGAGTCCTACCCCTAGTTCTCCCTCACCCTCCTGGTGAGGGGGACTAACCCTAACACAAATATTCTTCAAAGCTTTTCCCTTCATTCCTATTGATCAAGATACTGCCTAAAGCAATCGCCTGGAACATGATCATGCTAAATAAAAGTCCAAAAGAGCAAAATAGTTTTTTATTATTTTTTAACCTGCCTGGTTATCAGACTGCTAGTATACATTACCAAATGTCAGAATTTAATTTGGTGATTAACAATGTTATTAGACAATGTTGTGAGTACAATGTTGTTGCTAAATCACAACCCAATTTGTAATCAATGTGAAATTACCCTTATGCCCAGAGAGTACATTTTCATAAAATATCGTCTGTATTTTGTGCACGAACTGAAATAATTAGTGGCATTATATTCAGTAGCAGTACTGGGTTTTACTGCTGTTACAAGGAAATGGTAAATGTGGTATTATTGTCTCTTTCTCTCTCAGACACACACACACACACACACACAGGCTGAGTCCTAAGAATACTTATAGTAATTGCAATGAGCCCAACAACAGATGGAAATACAGAAGAGTATAGTGTTGCTCTTTTTGGAACAGTTCACAACCAAGTCAGTGACTGCCCGGTTTTAAATGAACAATATGTTGTTGGAATGATTAAACTACCTAGGATGTGCAACAGTGAAATAGAGCCTGCAGACACATGGCGCTGGCGGCAGAAGAACCTGTTAACTTTGGCTGATGCTGGACATCTATTGACCTTCAATGGGTGAGGTTTTCAAAGAGCAGTAAATCAATTGTGCATTTAATGATAATTCAAAATTTGAATGGTAATACTAATTGTCAGAAGTTCTACCATGATTTACCAGGAAACCAGTAGCTATTTCATTCCTAGTCTGTAAATGGGGTGGGCAAAATATACAAAACAAAATGGCTGTAAAGTTAAATCAGCATCTGTGGAAAACTGAACATTAAAACTTTAAGTGCTGTTGAATTGGACTCAATCAGTTTTAGCTAAGTGTAACTAATAAACTGGCAACTGAAGGCATTTGAGGCATTTTTTCCCAACCACACTGGTTATTTCGCTTGTCTTCCTTTCATATTTTTGCCAGGGATCAACTGCAGTATGACAGCTTTGCTACAACTCTGAGTAATATGATGGGTCTTTAACCATATGTCGTGTTTTCTTTCTGCACTATGATTCATATGTGTGATATTTGATTTTATTTATTTATTCTTTCAAACATGTAACAACAGTCAGTATGTAATCACACATAATTCCAGACATATCCACAAAAATATTTTCAAATTGCTTATACCTAGTACATGCTTGAACGGAGTAGGAAGAAGTTAGACTTATCTATATTCCAACACAGAAGCTACCAGGCTCTGTCTGCAAACAAAACTGAGCACATAAAAAGTGTTAGTAGGCACCAGAGGACTCTGTAGTACATAAGAAGTAGGAATTGTATGTCCAGTACTGTGCATCACTGTTTGCATATGTGTTACATGGCATGCATGGTCTACCCAGTTAGTGGAAGTCAGACAAAAAGCAACATGCATCACAGAGGAGAATGGCTCAACTGTGCATGTGAACTCAACTCTGCTTACGTAACAGCGGCTGACCATCATCCTCAAAGCAAAAGCTGAAAGAGCCAGTTGCCAGCGGACTCCCTGCCCCCTTCTCTATCCATTTAATCCCAAGAACTGTGTGGTAGTAAAGGACTTACTGGGCTGGGAATGCACAAATATAAAAATACGAGGGATTTACACTGCTCATAAACAGAGTTATATAGTAAACTGGACCCAAATATAAATATATGTATATATGCTTTATTTGCAGCAAAACATAAGAAAAAGTCAGGTGTCAGATAAGCAATGCCACTAATTTGGGACATACAGATTCAATAACAAGAAAGGAAAATAGATTGTATCCTTCACCGTGACAAGGCCACTGAGCTCCAGCAGCGCATATCCACTGAAAAGCAAAATACACCAAATGATGCCTGTATTGGCTTTAGTAAAGCTCTGCAGTCTGTGTAAATGTTGACAGGAAAGATCTCAAATTCTTGAAAAATATTCTAGTTGGCAGAAAAATAATCATCCACTGAAAACATCTTTACAGTATCTGACTAGACTCTCAGCTAAGTACCACTCTCCTGGAGTTATACAGTAACCTGGGCTCCCTCCCCTGGAGTGGTACTTTGTTGGAATATACCGTATAATAGATAGATAGGTAGATAGATAGATAATCCTTTATTGTCACTGTTAACACGTACAATGAAATTTTAGAGTGACCTCCAGTCGGTGCAGCAATAGAAAGAAACAAAACATATAAAATAAGACCATATAAAAAACGTAACCGCTAGAAAAATGAAATAAACAGCAGACCTCTCACACCCCCCCACCCACACACAGGCATATTATATTTTAGCAGCACTGAGTGTAGTCATACTTTGGAAAATAAAATAAACAGTCACAGTGAGGTTTGAGAAATGGAGGCATCTTTTTTAAACTTGCTGCTGAGTGCCACAAACAAAACTCTGTGTCCCACAATCTTGCAGTGTTGGCACACATCTCCAAATGTTGGCAAATAAAGCAAAACTACATGGCTATCTCAAACACAAACTGAGCTGCTGCCACTAAACAGCTCCGCTGGAGCAGCTGGGGTTAAAGGCCTTGCTGAAGGGCACCACAGCGGTGTTAGGGTGAGGCAAGTGCTGATTGGTCATGTGTCCCACACAGATTTAAGCCAGCTGGTATGGGGATTGAACCAATGAGAATCTCACTTCTCTAACCTTCTAGAACCATTTGACTTTCACCTTTAGCATTCAACCATGAAAAATTTTTGCATATTTAAATGCATTTAGTTTTCCTTTTGTCTTTATTTTTGTCACTGGTTACCATGGATGTGCAGGTCTGTGACTGTTTGGAAGAGACCAGCTATCATCAAGATGCCACTCTGACTTCAGTGTTTGTTTTGGTTGGTGCTGAGTCTCATGAAAGATGCTGGACAAGGCAGCTCTGTCTTCTCCAGCTGAAACATAATCCACAGATGAATTTCTGCTGGCACCTGAGAGCTCCCCACAAAAAAAACCCCACTGCACTGTGTTAGAAAGACACAGCAGAAAGAAAACCATAATGATCAAGTTACATAAAATGACAAAGACACCATTAGCAGTATGGTTGTGTTATGACAGCGTACAAACGTTTAACAACAGTTATCAGCATAATTGTCATACTGCACCTCCTCAGAACCATCAAATCTCATTAAAAAAGAGTTATTTTAAAAATGTTCAGCAGCATGACATACCTGTCAGAAATGTCTTCCTTGAAAAATTACAAGAAGCTCTTTTCAATGCCATTCATTATTTATTTGATTCTTTCTACAAAGGGTGACAGCTTCTGTTCTCCCACAGGTTTTGTCTTGCTTTTTGTCATCTTTTATCCAACAACTGAAGTTGTTTTCACACACCTTTTCCCACCTTTTCCCAGGGGAATATGTCAGCCTGCCTGGCCACATAAGATTAATATGAAACTATTCAAGGCATAAAGCAAGAAAAAAGAAACAAAAAAGTGCAGCTGATAATATTTTATATCATTAAAGAAAAGTCAGAAAATGTAGGAAAAATTGTAAAAGCTTTTCATTTTCTTTCAACCATTGAAACCATTGTGACAGTTTGAACTAAATAAATGGAACCAGTGATATCGGTGTGGAAACTTTTATTTGTGCTTTGGATTTTGGCTTTGATTACATGCACCCCGACTCCCCCTTGTTTGTCTTTGAGTGCAGTACTCTTTGCCTCTATCTTGTGAATTAATTCACCTTTAAACAAAATACTGGAAAAAACTAATCAACAGAAACATTGTTAAATTAAAGGCATAAAAAATACAGCTGCAACATATACCTGAAAAAATGGTTGCCCTCTACCAGCTAATCCACTTATTCATGCATCAGCATGGATATGCCACCAACGTTGGGAAGTGGTTTTACATTGTAGCATGGTTTATAAGCAGAGTCTTTGAAAGCACACTGGCTATATAAAGCCTGTGAGAACTCTCAGGCATTTGTCAGCATGATGTTTGGATACCATTCACTTGTCAGGAATCAAGGTCTAAGTCAGTAAGGGTGGATCACATGACACATCATTGTCCTTGTTATCTCAGACAACATGAAGTCCTTATCTTTAAAAATTATGATGTCAATGTATCATTTTTTTTATGTGTACAGTTAAGGTGACAGACAATTTCACCTGTAGATGATACATTTCAACACTGAATGATTTCAGTGTGACAACGTGAGCTACAGTGACCGCTGACAGTTCAACATAAGGACTATGCTATAGTAGGTCTCTGCAGTCACAGGTAAGGAGATTAGGGACAAGAACACTAAGATACTGTAGCTTTCAGTTTGGAACAGTATTAATTCTCTTCTTTCTATATGTGTACAACACTGTGCATGAGCACTAGATTTATCTGCAGATGATATTGCTCAGACAGGCAGAGTGATGACCCATATTTCATTAAATGGTTCTCAGTTTCTACCCCTCATCCCCTTTATTACTTTGAACATCCTGCGAGTATGTGTGTGCACGTGTCTGTGAGGAAGAACCATGCAGCCTAGTGTCCCTGAGCAACACTCGTCAGGGGAGTATTCGACCTTAGATCTTAATATAATGTGGTGAGGTGTCCACACCCTCATTAGTGTGATCCTACTTATAGTTATTAGATAATTAGCTTATTTAAAAATCGCTGTGCACATGATGTCATAATTGTTATGAAGCACTGACCCTCAGGTGCACAGCTCACACAGTACAGATGCATACTCCAAAGGCTTTTATTTCAACAGGACTTTTTCAAAGCATGGAAAATAGGAAAATATTTAAAAAATAAAATAAAATTCAAAAACTGACTGCATTATTATATTTTATATTTACAGTACATGTTCCAGTGAGCCAGCAAAGTGAAACTGAGCCATATTTAATATTTAATATTTATAATTTACATCTAGACATTTCCTACTAAGACATGTCAAAATGTGTCATGGTGCCACAAAATTCCTGTCTTTGGACTTTTATTTTGGTCACTTCCTGCTGGTGGAGATGCAGGAAGCAGGTGAAACAGTTTATCTGCCCCAGTTACCCACAGCTGATTCTCATCAGTGTTACCATCCAGTTCTGCACTTCAGCCACGCTCATACTCTCTTTCCACAGGAGTCTCCACTTAAATTGTTTAGTACCCTTAGTTTAGATGCTGGGCTGGTTCATGTGCATTAGTTGTAATGCTCGTTTTTCCTGCTCCCTCAGGTTTCTTGCCCTTTGTGTTGTTAGTTGGAGTTTTGTTTACCTTGCTGTTTCCCAGTGTACTCAGTGCCTCATGCTGTTGGACTGGTTTTTTTTTTTTTGTCTCTTACCCTGGATTTACTGTTTTGCCTTGGACTGATTACTTGCCTCTGACCTCTGACTCTGTCTCTGCATCTTTCTGTCTGAACACCGTAAGCTACGTCTTGCTATGTTAAAGAAATTGTTTTACTCTACTTGTCAGCCTGTCAGTTGTCTGTATTTGGGTCTTATGTTATTTACTTACTGTTTCACTAAGACCACTGTGACATATGATGTTGTCTAAAGCTTGAGGAAATGTTTTTTGATGATACATTTAAGTAGAATGTTGTACTGTCTCATTTAAGACACACTGGAATCTTTTAATGGTTTTCAGAAATTGGTAATATGCTTTTGAAAACAAGTAAAACCCACAAGTGGATAATTTTTCATGTCTTTGACTTGTGGCAGTGTCTTGGCCTGACCCAGCCCATGTATTAACAGTTAGTAAAACTACTGGTGTAAACATTGGTTTAAAATATTAGACAATGCTCAATCAAAGCAGGACTTAAACCTAACTGGAAAAAAATTAATTTTACTGTGCGTATAAAAAAAATGGGGTAGAATTCATGTTTTCTGAAGACACCTGGGGTGGTATGGTGGTGAAGTGGTTGGCACTGTTGCCTTACAGTGAGAAGGTGTAACTTACAAACCAGGATCTTTGTGTAAAGGGTCGAACACCTATTCATGCACTTGCCACCGGGATGAAGATGTACAGTACCGTGCAAATATTTTGAGCTCTGACATTTACATTATAGGCAGATGTTTCCACAGTTATTCTGTGGACTTGGGCAGACTTTTGTGTTGTCTTTCTCTTCATACAGTCTCAGACTGACTCCATGATGATTAGATTAACTCTCTGGAGCCATATTATCTAATGCAGGACTCGTCGTCGTCGTCGTCAATGAAGATATCATCAGTATCATGATGCACAAAAGATCAAATCAAATTTTATTTGAACAGCACCAAATAACAAAAGTCATCTCAGGACACTTTACAAAGTAAGGTCTAGACCTTACTGTTATCATTATTATTACAGAGGGAAAACCAACAAATCCCCCTTGAGCAGCACTTGGCGACAGTGGGGAGGAAAAACTTCCTTTAACGGAAGAAACCTCCGAGCCTTCTGCCTCGACCGGTTGGGGTGAGTGGATAGAGGAGAGACAAAAGAAGAAAAGCAACAAGACACAACAATCAAACACTGATCAGGTCAATGTGGCTGGTGACTGCTCGTCAGAGACATAGAGCTCCAGGGCCAGGGCAATTTTCAGAAAGGTACAGGGAGAGAGAGAGGACACACTACAAGAGAGAGGAGACACAAAGTTAGTAATGTGTAATGGTGGCATATAGATACATGGAGAGAGGAGAGGAGAGGAGAGAAACTCAGAGCACCATGGCCCCCCCAGCAGCCTAGGTCTATAGCAGCATAACTAAGGGAAGGCTCAGGGTCACTTGATCCAGACCAAACTATAAGCTTTATCAAAAAGGAACGTCTTAAGTCTAATCTTAAAGGTAGAGAAAGGTTGTTTTTTTTTTGTTTTTTTGGAGGGTCGAGTGATCTGAATAAAGAATTAGCACTTGCCTCCACAGTCTTTCTTTTAACTTATGACCACACTAATTAAGTCATTGCTGATCCATGATAAAACAGGAAGCAAACTGATGGATAGATTTAGAAATGAAGGAGGAGAGACAGTTGAGGATGGCCTTAGTAAGAAATTTTAGTTCACAGCAGGGTCTCATTTAGCAAAAGTTCAAGCAGTGATATGTTCTCCTAATGAGGAGTGTGACAGCTTCTGGACATGCTGGGTAGCCATTAATAGTGTTGGCTGGAGGAGACTATCCTCCATGTCTCTTCTGTCTTTGTAGCAGTCCTTCATGCATTTGTGCTGCTCATATAGATGGGTGACAAATTAAAGGAAAAACCTAAATGAGTGGTCTCTTCCAGGATGACTGTAAGATGTTGGGTTTTATTTTAATTTGTCACCTGTCTATGCCTCAACAACCACATTTTCAATTGTGACTGTTTTTATTTTATAAAGTGTCCAAAGCGAAGATGACACATGCCCATACTGTATTTTAACTTTGACTTAATTGCTGAAAAGAGGCTGGCATATGTACTGTTTGTTCTTCCATTCTGTAAACTGAAAAACCCAGTGTCGACTCCTGTGAAGGGGCAGATGTCCAATTGTTTCGTTATGGCTATACAGGACTGAGGTGATTCATTTGGAAGTTGACAAATGTCCCAGATGCCTGAACATGGAGAGGGAAACAAAATTCACAACTTCTGTTGTAGTTTAAATTTACTTACAAAAAAATGTTACGAGTTCAAGCAGTATTTCCACTTTACTTCATTTTCTGGGTAGATTTTTATTTATTTACAATGGAAATGTTGAATTATGTGGTTTAAAAACTTTGTCATCATTTGAGTCACCAAAATTGACATGTGCACCTAAAAATAAATAAAATGTTCTTTCTTCAGTGTTGTGCAACCTCCAGCCAGTCACCCGGGCACATGAACACCTATGATCCATTACAGGACAATGAAGGAAACGGCATCACACACGACAAGGTAGGCAAAGACAAATGACTATACATCTGTTGAAAAAGGAGTCAAGGTGCAAATAAAAGTGTTGTATCCCTGCCAGGCTCTTGTTGGTCATACACAAGAACGTTTCTCATGTGGGCATAATACCCTATGGGGCTGTCAAATCAAAATGACCTGGTCTCAGTTTGGCTGATCCACTACACCATTTTGTGACAAGTTTCCAAGTACAGTACCTTCTGAACAGTGTTTGTGCTGCCAATGTACTGCTTAAACTGCCACCCAATTATATCGTACTGGAGAAAGGGGTTTTTTTTTTTTCTTCCCCTCTGTTAATTTTTGTACCAGTTCCTCCTGGTTACTCTACCAGACACTGATCTTAATGGAGATGCCTTAAAAATTTCATTTGTGGATGTGCAAGTTGGTGCTAAATCTGACCAAGTTGTACTTGTTCACAGCTTTTGCTGTGATGAGGACTGTGTAGAGATATACAGCCTATCCTTGTGGATCATGGTGACTGTCAGGGACCAAGCAGTAAGGCAAAAGACACAGCTTCCAAAGTTCAAAATAAAGGGTTTTTATTAACCCAAAAGCAAGAAAAATACAAAATTAACATCAGATAAACTGGGCCCTAAAAGAGGTCAACAAAAGATAAGGAAACTCAAAATACAGCAAACTGAACTGTCTCAACAAAACCAACTGACCTAGCAAATGACACACACACAGGGAAACATATATACTGGCTGATCAAACCAATAACACACACACAAGGGGTACACTAAAGACACTACCAAAGCAATCAACTAATAAACACTAAACAGACAGTCTGCGCTCAACTAAATATTTCCTTTAAATATAAAGAAATTAACATAACTTGACAAATAAAGCTCTAACATAAACTACCAACAAATAAACAATAAATTTCTCCCAAACTCCCCCCTTTCTTGTATTGGGCACTTGGTGCAGTCCAGGCCTAGTGGGAGGTATTTAAACCTGCTGCTTCCTCAGTCCAATCTTTTAGCTGAACTGCCCCCCCATCCATGGACCAGGAAACACGGTAACTCAAAAGAAAAGGTAAACATTAACAATACAAAATTAATCAAATGTGCATGCTCATTGATCAATTGTGTACGTCTAATATAAATTACCCACCCAAGTCCATGGCTGGTGGTGGTTTCGGCCCTCACATGGTGAAGGCCAGGACTGAGGCCTTCACAGTGACATTTGACCTAGCTTTATGTGTCAGTCTTAACAAATTTGTCTGCTAAATATTGTAAATGTCAATGTGCCAAATCCCATTTCATAAACAGTCAGATATAAAATCCCTGGATTTCATAGCAGATCAAATTCTTCATTTTATTTGGAAGGATGCTCATTAAAAAATAAATTTAGCGGTGTTCTTTTTGTGTAATCGCTATAAAAGTGAATATGCCTATGCCCTGAAATCCATGATCCCTGGTTGCTGCAACATCAACATTTTTTTTCTTTTTCTTTTCAGTTTTCATGAAACAACAGGTGAAAATGCCAGTTTGTGCTTGGTGAAAGTGAGTTGCATTTAACCAGCTTCTGCTGTACTGGACACTGCTGGTGTGTCATGTGTTCTACTGAGGGTAACATATGGGGTTAATGAACTGTGTTGTACAGGACATATGCCTCATTTTGCCTGGAAGAGAATAGTTCATCTCTTTTATCGCCATGATACTGGGTTATTATACCCAATTGTGAATGATGACATTGGAAAGGTTAATTTATGTATATGTCTGTAGTCCTTTTCTGATCTGCAGTATCTTTTCACTGGGACAAAAACATTGTTCTACTTTGTGTTTTAATTTGTAAACTATAAATGAAAAATATAACCCAATGTTAAAAGACTTCTGATGGTTTTGAGAAGGTTGTAGTTGTGGATGGCAAGTACATGACAAGGAAATAAAAAGTCAAGGTTCTGATGGACCATTTTCCATCTATAATATGTGGAAGGAGCAGTTCGCATTTAGTCATTTGGGTTGGCATTGAGTGATAGAAATGGTCATAGCTTCTTTTATATTTAATGGCAGTAGATTACCCCTGGTGTCAATGGAGCAAGTACGTTTTCAATCAAGACTTGGTCAGAATATTTAAGTAGTCTTTTAGACAAAGACATATGGCATATGCAGTTATTTTGAGTGGGACAGTGAGACAAAGAGTGAGCTAAGCTGTCATAGCTTATTATTTAGCCACAGGCTGAGTCAATTAATGCTGGTGTCTGAGGTTTCACTCATATGGTGTAAAATACCTCTTATGATAATAAGAACAAGAAAAATGTACATTAAAAGGATATCTGGGAGGATATTTAATTTTACTGTTGGCTCTCATGCAGCCTTATCTCGAGTGTATATAAACGTGCGTAGTTTGAGTGGCTATATGTTCACAGTAGGTGTTTTTTGTTTTGGTCTCACTATTTTTAATTCTTGCTGTCACCCTCCAGAACTATTTAGAACATCCACTTTCATCACAGTGATGAAACTGTCCACCTACAATCTCTTTCTCTCCCACTCACTGTCTACCATGTCCAACCAAAGGCAGTGGGGTCTGCTATGGCCCCCTGGGCTCTGTCAGCCAGCTCCTGGCTCCTATGTTACACACACACACACACACACACACACACACACACACACACACAGTCCAGTGTCTTTCCTAGTGCTACCCTGTGGACAGAGATGCTAATTTGAAGCATTCCTGGATGAGACAGCTCTGCAAGAATATCAGCTTGAGTCCACTGAGAAGACTTGTAATGCTTCTCTCACAAGCACAACAGCCCTTAGTGTGATTGTGTGTACTTGACTGTGTAGTGTTGATTTGCATTGTGTACAGGATGCTTTGTCCTATTTGTTGAGCATTTATGTCATTCAGTAAAGCATCATTGGTCTATAATGAATTGGAAAAACAGCTGATTACAGGGAGTTGAAAACAAATTGGAGTATAGAGTACCTGATGTCATACATATTTAATGAGCTTAAAAACGTGTTCATTCATATTGGGCACACTGAGCTGTGTGCTGCTGCTATTTTTAGATCCTCTGTTTCTGGCTTGGCACGTGAGGCTTTGAGAATGTCAAAAGAGAGCTACAAGAAAAAAAAGATGGAAAATGTCAAATATGACAGAGCTGCTGAGAATATCTGTGCATGTTTTCTTTTTTTTTTCTAAATATTGTCACCATGATTAGCGTCAGGCATAGAGGTGGAACACTGGCCTTTTGCCCATCAGGGAAGACATGGTTGTTTAGGTTTAATGCTTCTCTTCTCCCAATGAAAAGATGATCTGGGGGGGAATGCCGTTGCTATTTTTAGTATAGTGTGTTCATGTGGGAAGAGAGAGATGTGGTGATGGATATGCTAAATACATTAGCCAGGTACTAAACTTTGACTGGAGGGGTTAATGAGATGAAATCAATACCACTTTGTCAATGTTCAGTTAAATTTTTTTCTTACTAAGCAGGCTATCTCAGAAATCTGTTTAATCAGTATTTCTATCTGTATAATGGATAAAACGACTACATGTGTAGGACGATAGTCACAATATTGGCTGATTTTCAGTTCCCTTACTTTAATGGTCGTCAAGCTCGACCCGGAAGTCGCTCTGGTCCAAAGTAATGAAGGACAGAGCTCTTATTTTTTTGAGGAGAGAGGAGGCTACTTGCTGGAGCCAGTGCATCCGTCATGGAAGCCTGTTGCGAATTGACATGCCCTTTTGTCGTAAAGCAGTTTGTGATTGGACGCTTCATATGAAGGCTCTAGGAAAGGATGTCTCATATCAGTTAAAACATGTTTCCTTGGTTCCTTTGTCCTTGCATTCCCCCCCCCCGCGTCTTGTCTGAGAGGGTAAAAATGTACATTTTCGGAGTGACCAAAACTATTCACCCTGTTTTCTGATCTCACCCAAGATAGTTTATTTTAAATTGTTGTGCACATTCCTACCACCCTATCCATCCACCACCAACAGAATATTTTTGACAGTACACCGGCACTTCAACACATTGAAGTCACTGTGCTCTTCACAGAGGGGAAAAACACAGGTGTAATAATGAATGTCAATGACACTTCTCTATTTAATTGTTCCACTAAGTCGTGCCAGAGAGCCAGCATGTGCTGGGTGTGGGACACCTACGGATCTGGAACACAGCCATTGTCAATGTATTGCATCTCTTCCTGCTGTAGTATCTATGTCTGAAAAGGTGTTTAGCAAGAGATACAATATTTAGTTCTGAGGTGCTGTTCAGGTTGCCCACAACACAACGCTTATAACAACATTTTGTGCCATCCATCTAAAGTTAATTAACCCTGACAGATTCAGTCCATGCAATTTGGAACTGCAGTGCTCATTTCCATTCTTACTTCTAGTGGTCTTGACACAGCTCTAGGCTACACTGCAGACATGGTCTGTCTGGTCTGTGGATTATTGCCTGAATTAAGTTAAATCCCTGTAACTGTTTTAGTAGCTCTCTTCTCAGTTTCAGGTCTGTTTCTCTGAAGACTACTAGAGAGTTCACGCTGAAAGGTTTGTATGTGTGAAAGACGCAGACAGTCTAGTTCATTTCCGTCCGTGGATGTCCTGTCACTTCATCTTCTTTTTGATTGTTACTGTGATGTGTCAGAGCTGTTCGTCAAAAAAAACATGCAAGATCACAGGAGGGGCAATTTCTATAGCAATCCCCCTGACCACTGAGAGGCTAAAGGGTCCTTTGCATAATGTTCTTCTATGTCATCTTGTCTCTGGAATAGGAAGGTCATGTCTGTCTGTTTTGTCCTAAGTGTTAAAATCTTGTGGAAACAAAACTCCAATGGGTAAAATATGTGTAACAGGCAGATTTTCTTCTCTGCCTTTCATGTTGTATTTGTTTATTTACTAGGGACATAGAAAAGGGCAACCGACTAGCAATGGCGGACATGTTGGAAGCGGATGGCTTGAGTAACAGCTCTCAAAACCACAAACGCCATAAACTCAGTGTAAAATGACTAGGACTCAATCAAATGTTTCCTGGTGTGGCCAGG